CCTATGTATTTTGACGAACTGCCAAATTGTCACTTTCATTGAGACTGCGCTTGTGGGTTTATCATAAGGCCGTTTAACGCCTGGAGTGGCCAAATAGCACCGTACCTAAACCACTTTAACAGTATTCTTAGGCTGGCTCTAAATATCCTAGCGATGTCGCCACACCTGGTATGGACCCCCTAAACACAATGATTGCGCACTGCATTTGAGGAGTCAGTCTCAACCGACCTTGATTTGAGTCTCCAGTTTTCGTTCATCGCCAATGAGCATAACTCCAAAATTCGCAGTAGTCCATTTTGAGAGGGGGACATAATTTCTCAAAAAGTAAGTAAAGGCGTTTCAATTTCTGAGTATTTTCTATAGGAAGCATACACGTAACCATGATCAGTGTAAATAAGCACCTACACCTTATATGTTTTTCGGGATTGGTTTTGTTGTAACGGTAGCCAAAGCTGAGATGTCACCGCCTAATTACGCCTCATGTGAGTCCCCCAAGGAAGAACATGATTGAAATGGGCAAAAGCAGCAGTCTTTGAGCGTTATTAGTACAACATATTTAAGGAAACAAACGAGTGTCAAACTATGTCTACCGAGCCAATCAGCTTCTGTCCTGACGTGACTGGCGACACGATTGGCTTGTGTCTCAGCGGCAGGCCCAGCTTACACTTTAAATTATTGGTTGATTGACTGCCAGTATGCGTTCGACTCGTGTAGGCCGATCGATAGCCTGCCGTGAGCGCGGCTCGCTGTCTGTGTGCTAGCTGCCTGCTAGCTTTTCGTAAGGCTCGTCCTAACAGGTTTGGAAGCTTCTCAACAAAAAACCTTAACGGTACTGCGTATGAGTTAGCTTGAAGTCAAGCACTTTACTAATCAGTACTAAATTCTCGCTTATCTATTACTTTCATTTTCAAATTTTATTAAGCCTTCCCTGTCAGTGGTTCACGGGTCTCAGTGCATGAAACACTTCCAGGCTACACGTTTATTCGACAGAACCTTGCTGTATGCGAATGTTCGGCTGTAGGACTATTGCAAGCAGACTGCATTAGCGTCATCAGACTACATAGTGTCTATAAGTACACAGTCATCCAGAAATATCGACCCAAATTTAACCGCTAACCTGCGCTACATTTAGTGGATCCTTTCTGATAGTAAATCACCAGCTATTAGCCGTTTCTGATTCACACGGCAGACTTCACACCGCAGATAAAATCATGCGGCTGTCACTGGCTGACACCGAAAAGCTTTAACAAATCCGCCATGTAAAAATTAGGCGATGTGTACACCCAAACAAATTTTTGCTTGTTTGATCGGGAATTCTTTCTTTCGAGTCCATTTATCACCAGAAATGTTCCCCAGAGTGCCTGCATTATTGCTCTCCGGTTTTAAAAATAGCTAGTTAACTCGTAACTCGAGTAACCCTGTCTGTGTAGCGTCGGCTTCTTAGAGAGATGGCCTTCTGTAATATGTTGGGTCGACAGTGAAAATCATCCAACCCCTAGTCGCACAGTTAAAAGTTGCAGAATTGTTACTGATAATGACATCTGAGACCTGATTTAATGGCGACGGGTATAATTTGCCGTATTGAATACTGCTAAGAGATAACTAGGCCGACCCCTCATGTATTTTCTTCACATCGGTGTACGGCTGTCTTCTTTCGACCCCCTCCTGCACTCCCACAACACGCCTATGCTTGTGCGTTGAAAGGATGCCAACCGACAAGGTAACTCTGTCTTCATCCAGACCGAGAGTCAGGCTAAAATAACTGCTTAATTTGGTCTTTCCGCTATTTGTTCCCCGTGGAATTCTCTATTGTGGGCAACGTTTAACTTCCACTGTTAGTCAAACTTAGCTATTCCTATATGACAATGATGCTATACCGTACTTCCGCATAGATATTAGCTAAAAGCCCAGACACGTGTTTCGCCGATGTTTCTAGTGATTTATCTGAAGGTCATATACTAGAAACCGCATAGAGGACGTTGGGGGACCCAATGAGGAGCCGAACCCTACGTTGCTGTATCATGCAGCACCAGAAACATCGGCGAAGCACCTGTCTGGGCTCTTAGCTAGTATCTATGTATAACATCATTGTCATATAGAATCCAAACTACTTGTAGTGCCACTCGTTTGTAGAATGGACATTTCCGTGGTTATTCCACGGTAGTTGATTGTTTTTGACGAAATTTTTCATCGAAATCCAAGGTCTGGCCCTTAAAAGTCATGTCACTTCCACCTATTTCCATGTCATGCACCTAATAATTTCCACGATTATTTCTTTCTAACTATTCCTGTAAGAATCTTTTTTTATTTTCTCTTCCTGGCTGCGGAGCGTTTTCTGTCGATATTGCAAGAGGCTCTTGTTTCGATGCACACTGCTTCTTGTCAATGATCAAAAATTGCAGAAATATAACGCATGATATAGTGGAGCATTTTCAGCCCGGCCAACTTCCCCATGGGTATCTGTTTTTTTTTCGAAATTGGAAGTCCAGGACAACTATTTCATACGACACTGGCCGATTTTATAAACTTTAGTCAAATCCATTCTTCCCCGGGATTCCGATTTTAACCCCGGAAAGTGATCGAGAGCTGAGAAAAACGGATTGTCTCAATGGCTGACAACTAATCGGCCTAACACGTATGTGAAAGCTAAATCCAGTCCTGATGAGCTAATGGCACAGCTGATCGCTCGACGTGTACTTCAGGTCTGTTAACACTCCCACAATTCCCTAGCTTTACAGAGCATCATAATTTTTACTTTCCTCTCATCCAGACATTCACTTCTTTGTTTCATAACCCATGTTCCGATAATTTTTTTTCCAGGAAGCAACGCTAGATCATTCCTTCATCAGCTGTTGCTCAGCTATATTTCTCTACATTTGCACCGGATTGCCCTTTCTGCCCTTTGTGAACTCAGCAAAATGTCCTTAGCCTACTACACCCCTTAAGAATGCGTTATGTGGACTAGCCGTTCACATGTTCGTCGTACCCGTTTTCATGTGTCATGCTTCCCTCCTTTCTCTAAACAACTGCAGTTTTGGTGTGAAGTCTTAGTTCGAATTTCATGTCAAACTGTGTACTGTGCGGCCGTTTTCTGTTATGGATCATGTCACCTATTATTGTCTCCCTCCCCCTTCAGCTATATTGGCCTCCTTCAATGATGAGGACATTTATCTCTTCGATTCCCGAGACCCTAGCCTCCCCCCGGTCCACGCCTACCGCTGTCACCGGAATATGGATACAGGTATGATGCAACTTCTTTGTTGCATTTTGTGCCCTTTTGGGTGAGCCACCGCATTTTATTTTGCCCCGGAGTCTTTGGCTCAAAGCACCTTCACCTGCAGCGTATCGCCACGGTTTTTTCTCACTACTTACTTTTTTGAGGTGTCACTGGGAGGGCGTAACCGTGCTGGGCTGGGGGTTGGGTTTAGGCTTTGGTCCACTGTGAGGTATAGTGTTGAAGTGTTAGTGGTGTTTATAACTTACAGTTAGGCTTATGTTCGATATATCTCTGAACTTTACACTAACCCTACTCTTGCTCATCCGATACTATTCTTAGGCCTGGTCATATGCCGAACTATAATCCGAAATACCCATCCGTTGGTCTGACCTAGAGCAAACCGCTACGCACCCACACAAAATTATAAAACTCAACTACTCTAGTTAAAAAAGTAGTAAATAAAACAACCTAAAGGGTTTGTCATGCAGCATCTGTAGGCGCTTTTTGCCGAAACCTTTTCGTTGAGGGCGTGCTCGTGGATTTCTCAACGTTCTTTCTCTCGGTGCACTGGCTGAGGCAGAAAGCGCCTGTCCTTGAAGATGGGTCTATCCTCCAACTCCTATCTTGTGACCCATCTGCAACCTTGACTTTAACCCCCTTTTGGCAATGTATGACCTAAGCAACCTGGACCCCTGGGACGTCGTATGCTGTTCTTCCAGACCTAAATACCGTTCAACTACAAGATAGATAGTGGGTTTATGCCCCCATCACCTGCTTTGTCTGATCTCCTCGTTAAGACCTTTCGCCTACCTTAGGTACTCGTAGCCCCCAGTCATTCGGTTACTTTTATTTTTATTACTTTTAATTTAATTTTGAGTTTATCGTTTAGTTTATTAGTTTAACTTTAGTTTTAGTTTAGTTAGATACTTATGCAACAACTATACCAACTAAACTAAACTAAGCTAAAAAAGGTAAAGTAAAACTAAAAGTAAGATAATAAATTACATAACAAGCTAAACGCTCAACCAAACTGATACTACTGGTCTCGTTAGACAGAATTCTGGCGCTAGGGGTATCTGCGGTGGGCGCTCAATTTAACTTTCACCCAAAGTTCATTTGAACATCCACCTTCTCCTTGCTTGAGTATGCCCTTCTTCTTCTTCTTCTTCTTCTTCTTCTTCTTCTCGCAGTCAAGGGTGTCAACTTCTTCGGCCCCAACTCGGAATACGTTGTCAGTGGCAGTGATGACGGTTTTGTCTACATCTGGGACAGACACTCGGAGGGCATTGTACAGTGGCTGTGCGCTGACTTAAACGGATCCGTAAATGTACTGGAGCCCCATCCCTTCCTGCCCGTCCTGGCCACTTCGGGTATTGACTACGACTTCAAGGTAAGAACGGGACAAATCTCATTCTTCTCGCTGCAGAGTTCCTTTTCCATGCGGCTTGCCCCATCGAATAATCATTCTGCCTCCTTTTTTGACTAGACTTGTACCGCAATCGTCGTTTTATTTGCAATATGCTATGGAACTCTGGAAACTTGGGTTATTCTGCTGGTTTTTGACGAACCACCTTCCCAGCTGCCCGTCTAGGCTGCATTTGGGGAAACAATCACACCTCATTGCACACCCTCAATTGCTCTTTAGCACTTTTAATAATTCACATATATTCTATTGAAGCTGTACACTGAAATTAAACTTATCTGATCTATCGGCTTGAAGGAAGGGGTAGCTGTGACTTCAATATATATTCATAAGAATTTTGTGTAACTTGATGATTATTGAAGTTTAAATGTTTCAGTTTGCTAATTAATGATGTTCTATGAGTATGCAACCTTGTCCATATATATTGCAAAATTAGTATAATTGCTAGTTGTCTCGTCTAGATCGCACGGCATTTATATAGGTGGGCTAGGTAAAAGTACATAACATGTAATTCGAAAACCCGAAAGACAGGTGCATCAAATGTCTAGGCTCAAAACAGGAAGGGCTTTTGTTACCTTTTTTCTGTGTATTCAGAACCATATTTACGAGGCAACGAAAATCTTTCGTTAATATACCCATTTTTACGAGATTGATTTTGGCAGATGTCTACCTTACAGCTAGCACATCGACCTCTAGGAAATTTCTTAAGATTATATTGTGCCATAATCCCTATTGCAAGCTCACTAAAACTGCTATCTAGGATTTCAGTGTATCATTAATTTTTCTACCGATGTAAGGCGATAGCATTTGGAAAATAATGGATTTATTGCCTTAGATTATCTGTAGGACCCCCATCTACTCATTACTTGTACATTTTATTGGACAATCGTCAATTTAGGCAAAATTGTGGGTCGCGTACATTGGTATTGAGTATTGAAGTTGATGTCGGGGTGGCCAAATAGTTTTATTGGCTATGAACGCGTGCGAAATAGGTTGTAATTTCTGAACAGTGATGGTGTGGTCTGTCCGAAGTGTATTTAAGCCGTTTTAAAATTGGGCTAGTCCGACCTCCCGAAAAGCTTTTAGACACTATCATTTGTAAATACCCCCCGTTTTTTCATCCCGTTCTACTGTCGCTCATCTCAGAATTCCTGCATTCGGCTAGTTTCAAACGCTGTAGTTCTGTTTGCCGCCGCAAACCACCACGTATCTCAACTATTTACACGTTTGTAACCCCTTAAAATATATATATATTTCGTTTTTAGATGCTTCTACCGGTGTACTATCCATTTTTGTTCCTTGTTCAAAACTTTCGGGATTCAAACTTGTCCCTAGCAAGATGAGTAAAACTAAAATTTGTATATTCTGCCAGGACTTAGGTCATATGGTCGGCCAATAAACTGCTTACCTCCGAGTTTCCAACCCTCTGCATAGTGCTGACCAAAAACGTTGTTACTTTTCGTATAACCTGCCCGCAGGAAACTTATCCTGTATGCACTTACATATTCTGCTGCACTAAAATATCAAATCTCTGCTAATTCAAACCTGTCCTATCATACTGATCTCTCAAGCTCTCAATGAAATTGCATATCATCATATTATTTTCACTCTTTAACGATTTATAGTTTGCACAGTTGCAGACTTTTAGATTTCAATAAAAAAACGATCGAAGAATGGTAAGGGTACAACTTGACGTGTAAAAAATCGATCACAACTCTAGTGCAGTCATCTGAAATCCAGCAATTAAAATTGTCTGTGTTCTTTCTGCAGATATGGTCACCCCACCCTCCTTTCCCGCCCACTGACACCCCCGAGGCTTGGCTGCCCAAAATCAAGCACCCAGAGCGCGACAGACCTTTCCTTTTCGATCCCGAACCCGTGGTCATTGCCATGAACCAGCTTCGAAAGTCTCCCCTGGCCACACACCTCTTCGGGGATGAGTTCAAT